AATATGAATATTGTAATCAATTATAATATTCAACAATAATCGCCAATATAAAAATACAATTATTCTGGAAATGAAAGCTAAAAGTACTCGATATGGCATTAAGAAAATGTCAAATTCCAAATCTCTATTTCAATGATGGGGCATCAACTAAAATCTGACAACAGTTGTAAGAGATTTTTAAATGGGAATTTCTTTCAAATTTGCATAATTCTTAGATTTTTTTTTCAAAGTTAAGAGATGTCATTTAATATACATATATACATAATATACGTATATGCACAATGGTAATAAAAAACAACTTTCTTCAGAATTACGTCAAACTAATCAATTAAACAGACATACTTTAGCCACGTTTTAAAGTTAAAAGAGAAAACGAAAATATAACGTGGTGAGTTTCTTTTTATTGAAAATACAAGCTTTCAAGCAAAACGCTTTTCTTCAGGTATTCCAAGAAAATGTGCGGAGAGGTATATACACCCAACTAAGTAAGATTTGAATATTGAAGCTTGTTCGTGGCAATTCCGCTTCAATATTCAAATCTTACTTAGTTGGGTATATATACCTCTCCGCATACTTTTTTGGATTACCTGAAGAAAAGCGTTTTGCTTGAAAGCTTGTATTTTCAATAAAAAGAAACTCACCACTTTATATTTTCGTTTTCTCTTTTAATCAATTAATAATTTATAAAGTGTAATTAACTAAGAGGTAAAAATATTAACTCGTCTAAGAGATAGTTGTTTAATAATTTAGAATAGTTGACAAAAATCCTTAGGTAAATAAATGGATAAAAGAAATATTACCCTTTTATAATTTAAAATATTTGCCAATAACGCTATAGTAAAATTATATGGAGAAGTTTTAATTATAATACATTAGAAATTCAAATTATTTTTAATGCCTAATTTTTTTATTTTAAAAATAAAACCAATTTAAAATCATCAAAAATAGTTTGAACTTCTAATAACAGATTGCGCGTTAATTCTTCATGTTTTTATTATACATCACAAGCTTTCGGAATTGTCTATTCTTCAACAGGCGCGTGTAATTAAATGAACAATAAGGATCTTTATATGTATAACTGCTGTAATTTCGATATATATGTTAAATGAAAGAAAGACGATTCTCTTTATAAATATTTTAGATTTAACGTTTGTAATATCATCGAAGAATTATCGTCTTTTTTTCATTTCAAAAATATTCTACAGATGGCGCTATTTTTCAAATAATAAAAAATAATATATTGAAAAAAAATATTTGGAATGTAACAAATTTAATATTTTTGAGGTTAGGAAAAATTACTTCAATTTTGGGAAAATATCAACAAATATGGCGCATATTTGTAAGGTGGTGGAGAAGTATTGAAAATAAATCATGAAGAGAAAAATTTCATTGAATCTTTCTACCCGTTTAACTTCATTTGTCAGAAGCTGTGAACCAGAACGCTGGAAGTTTTTTGTTCTTTCCCTCGAATCTATTCGGGTTTTTTTAGAACCAATTTTATTTCTTATACATAGCTTTCATTCCAAATATACATATACTTTACAGGAATTTGCATTAAATAACTATAATAAACGAAGGAGAGGAATTCTCTCGTGTTATTTTATGATAATATAATCATTACTATACAATTAATAACCCTTTAATATGATGCACTAGCGCGCCATCTGTTATGAAAATTCGAAACTATTTTAGACGCGTAAGATTTTTTTGATATTAAACAATTTCTACTGCCCTTACTGCAATATTGAAAATTTAATAGGAGGGCCTGGCTCATCAGTGGTGAACCCTCCCAGCAGTTTCGCCGGTAGATTAAACTTGCGAAACCGCTGGGAGGGTTCACCACTGATGAGCCAAGCCCTCCTATTAAATTTTCTATATTACAGTAAGGGCAGTAGAAATTGTTTAATATCAAAAGAACCTTACGCATCTTAAATATTTTCGAATTTTCATAACCACCCTTTATGATATATCATTTATAAATAATATACGTTACATCTCTGACCTATATGGAAATAAGTTGTGAAAACACCATCAACTTGAGAAACTTATTTTTCACCCATTTTCTACGCCATAATGTTAGGATAATTACAATTTGCAATATTGGTTTTAAAATTAGTCATCGAAAATTTTGTTGCATAATAATACATTTTTTATACACTTATGGACAAAGCTTAAGGAAGTCGAGAGTCTTTAAATGTCGCCGGTCGTTTTTTTTTTTTTTTTTTTTGAAAGAGACAGAGATAATTTTGTTCACACTTGATTATCTCGTGTGTCTTCAACAAAGGTAACTGTAATATATCTCAGAGTTATTGTCTGAATCCTGATATACATGCTAAAAGTGTAAAACTTTCTTAAGTTTTGTCCATGAGTATAAATACAAACCACCATATTTGTATATTTCCGAATTTATAGAAGTAAAGCTGATGATTTATTTGGAAAGAAGGCTTATTGTCAAGAAAATTAGAATTTAAAAGATAATTAATGTTAAGAAGAGTTTGAAAATAAGTAAAAATTAAACTAATAATTTTGACTTACATAGGTGCACGCTTTCGCTATTCTTTTGACACTATAGATCTAATGTTTTAGTTGAGATTTTGGTCAATAGATGTCGCTATGTTAAACAATATCACAGTTTTCTGGAGATGAGTTTTTTTTATTAAAGTAGTCTCAAGCTTTCGGTCAGCTCTGCCTTTCTACTAGATAACAAAAATAAACGAATAAAAGGCAAGTTATTGGCATCATGCGGCGTTTTATTCGTTTATTTATGTTCTCCAGTAGAAAGGCAGAATTATGATGCATAGCGCGCGCCATCTGTTATCAAAAGCCATGTTCTCCCATTAATATTTCCATTGCAGTAATGACAGTAGAAATTGTTTATTAAAAATAAATCATACGCGTCTATAATAGTTTCGAATTTTGATAAAGGCAGAATTTCCCGAAAGCTTGAGAATGCTTTAATAAAATAGAAAGAAACTCATCATCAGAAAACTGTGTAATTATCTCATTTATGTCCATGAGATTTTAAATCAATAGATATCGCTATGGTTAATTGGTGTGGAATGATGTTATAGGAACTTACCTCAAAGCCAATGGGACACACAACTGAGGAGCTTCATCATCAATGACGATATCATCCCGATATTTCCTGCACAAAACATCAATATGTTAAACTTCAAAGTCTAACTTATATAACATTTCAACAGGAATAGAAGAAGGCAACACAAAATCAATTTCGAATATGTAACTAGGATGTTTGAATAACAGCTATGTCATTAATGTATGATGGTGGTAGCAATGCTACTGAAATATTACACCTAGTTCAATTATTGGTAAATTTAGGAATGAAGAAATATGTAAATATGGTATGTATATGTTATATTTAATAATGATTTCTGCTGTTGATTTTGGAATTGTTGAGATTATGGTATGTTAATGCAGTAGTGACAAAATTTTTAAAATATAATAAAAATAGTAAATATTAGAAATAATTTTAATTGAGCTTTTGGAATATAGAAAACATAATTTGATAAAAGTAATGCCTGGCTTAAGGCGTAAGAATAAAAAAAATGAAAAACTTATTTACATAATGTACAAAAGGGTTGAGCCGGCCATCGGGATAAAACTACAACGAGTTTTTATATGCAAAGCGTGACCTCTGGCGGTCGATTTAACAGAATATTTGAATTTATGAAATATAATTTTAAATAAAATAATATTTTCAATATAACATGTATATGTAGTAATATATGTCAATATACACTAGATTTGCATATGTACCATAATTATAAAAGTGTAACGCCCCCAAAATGTAGATACAATTCAACTCGCCAGCTTGGCTATCATGTAATCACAAATAAGATAATAAAGTTTTATTGAGAGTCCGCCGCACACCAAGACAGGACATTGTTCCAATTTCAGAAACCTTTAGTTTGTTTTACGACCACCACTGGACGTCCGGACAACAACATCTCTCCCTATCATGTGAATCACATCCCCCTGGACCTTGTCTGTGTCTTCAGCACTGGTCTCTCTCTGAGATGACATCCAACCTGTCTCGTCCTTTGTGTTACCTATTGACGCCTGAAACCACTTGGTCCCCATGACTGCAAGGGCTTCTGGTATCACATATACATACATTTAAAAAAAGGCATCTCCTTATTGGGCAACTGATATTTATTCCGGTATTTGGCGCAAGCCATCATCAACTTTCAGTTGCCCGATAAAGAGATGCCTTTTTTCTTTTTTTATTTATGAACATTATCCCAGTTCAATATCACATTTGTGCTATTTATTCATATAGTTACAGGTAATAATACATTTAAATATAGATGAAATCTTTGGCAGATTGTCAAGATTCCATTAGATCCCGTGTGGATCTCATGGAATAAAGTCCGCCCTAGGCTGACGAGGGCCATTAGCCCGAAACCATGGTCTCTAGGTGGAGGCTTTTCATTTTGCCAAAGCTGGTGTTGTGGCTTTGTCACCGACCCGAGGCCGCTAGTTGCGGCGAGGGTCAATAGATGGCGTCTAGTTTTGACGTCTATTTTGACGGGAGAGGCGACCTTAGTCTCTTTAGACATGTAAATATGTTCAACTAAATATTGTACATTGTAACAATACAATGGAAATGTATCATAAATTAGATTCTTTCTAAAAGCAAGTATTTTCAAAATCAGTAATCCGATTTAAAAACAATATTTGACATTATTATGATTTTAAATACCTCCGATATATTTAAAAGGAGCTATTGGTTATTTCTCGTAAACCAGAGGTCTTATATAAATCTCAATACTTCCAACAATGAACGACTTCCATAGAAGATTAGAGAATAAAACAGCAACAAAAATTTGTAGAACGACATTTGAAAATTATCCCGCATGTGTTTCTTTTGAACCAAAAATCGAAATTTATTTAAGGAGAAATAACGATTATTTCTAACCTTAGAGATGAAGTATGAAAGGATGAATTATGAAGAGTAATGATAAACAGAAAAATAAAATGTCCAGGGATGGGAATCGAACCCACAATGTTCCGCTTACCGGGCATGCCATGTCCACTAGGCTACCCTGGACATATTTTTCAGTTCGTAAATATTATATAAAGTAATTTATAATACAATATAATGCGGCTTATGATTGTAAAACGACATGCGGGATAATCTTCAAATGTCGTTATAAATTGTAATTATAATATAGTTGTATAATATAAGTTGTAATTCAAATTGTATTATAACAAGTATTTTACTTATTAAAGGTATAGATATTTAGAAAGGCATATCCTTACAAGGCTCACATGAGCATTTCTAGATGGTAGAGCGCCATCTAGTGGAACAAAAATAAACTAAACGTTTATTTAACTTGTTCCGTGATATTTGGCCAACCCATAGATTAGATATGTGAAATAAAGATGTATTTGTAAATCTAAATATTCCCTATATATCAAAAACCCTGTATGTAACCACCTTCCAAATTCTACCTTTTAAATATGGATTGCGTTTAATAAATTCTTTTAATAATATCATCAAATTATTTAAGAAAAATACATCTCTTGATCGTGCAACTAAAGGTTGCTGATGGCTTGCGCCATCTATCGGAATAAATTTCAACTATTCGTTCATTTTTTGAATATTCCAGAATTGAACACCGTCATATTTAGTAAATTAAATTTAATTGCCATATATCGTTAAAATTTTACACAAATAAATTTACTGGCAATGCGTTTCTTTTTAAGAAGATAATATTTGATGGTATTTAAAAAGAAACGCATTGCCAGTAAATTTATTTGTGTAAAGTTTTACCGTCATATTTGTTGAAAAGTCAACTAAACGGAACTTATCGTAAATCAAACTCTTTTTCTGAATTAATCAACGTTTTTTTTAATATAAAGTTATTATAAATTACATTTGTATTAACTTTTTAGAATATAAAATGCATTATATATAACACATTTATAATAATTACGTTTAGAATAATACTAAATTATATATAAGCATTTGATCCAACTATTAAAATGTTTTAAATATAGATAATTGTTGATGTTTCCAATATATAAATTAACTTCCAAATATTTATTCAAAATTCATAGTTCAAAAGAAAAACTTGCCATATCATTAGTATTCATTTTATCAAAATATATAGAGAATTGCGTTTATAATATTTATTTAAAAAAACATAATTTCAAACTTTAATCCAAATATTTAACATTTAAAATATAAAGAAGGGTTTATATATTCCAAAATATAGAAATTGTTTGACTTAATAAAAAAACTTCTAAAATTATAATTCAAACAAGAAATATTACACACAAATGAGTTAATAAATTAATTTCATTAAATTAATTAAAATTCTAAAGAGAGAGCAGACGAATGTTTAAATACCAGAAGAAAAAAAAAATACCAAAAGATATTTTTAAATTTAAAAAAGTGTTTGTCTAATTAATCAAATTTTTCATTACCACAAAATGACAAAGTTTTACCTAACAAAATATTTAATATATTACTCTAGGTAGAAAGATAAATTTTAAACAAACTATATGAAATAAAGTCATTTAAAAATGACGTCTGAAAAATTCTTCAAATAGCAACAACAACAAAAAATGACACAGAAATATTTATGGAAAATTAAGTCATTTTCTCTTTCTCTTTAAAATGTTGAAATTTTAATATAGAGAAATATTTCTCTTTTCTTTTGAGTTATTTTTTTTTTAAATAGCATTTAAATATATTTGGTTTTAGCGAATTAATCCTAAAATGATAAAAACTATAATAAATATGCTATTATATAATGTTTATAGAGATATGGGTTGTATTTATTTATTTATTTCAACACACAAAACGCGATATCCCGGCTAGGGATAAATGCGTTGATTTACATTAAAAAAAAAAGAAACAGTTCTAAACATATTATACAAGAAAAAGTAATCGAAATAAAAAGAGAAACAATAATATATATTAGGAACCTGAACCTTTCAGGTTTGAAAGATAATCACAAATATATTTACAGAAATAGTTAAACCTACGATAATTCTCTCTGCTATTTACAAATTGATATAGATCTACAACATTATTTATTGTCTGTTGTCTAGCGGTGAAAATATATATATGTCGTGATCGATTGGAAGGGTGCAACCGTTATGCTTACAATCCCAAGAATTAATTCCAGCCAAGTTAGCAGCGCACCCGCGACATGCCGTAGCATTCGTCCGCGATGTCTGCCACGTTTATTTTTGTACAGTTTTAATAGATAGATGAATTTGCATATTTACATTTTAACACAAGCTTAACAAATTTTCATACTCAATTTGGCGAAAATAAATTATACATCTTGGATATTAAACAAATTATGACATACATATATTAATCTGATCTTTTTTAAATGACACAGAGCATGTATTATCATTAACTGGCTGACTTATTTTCCTTTTCATACTTTTCATTTTTTCAACACCACATGGCGTAACTTAAAAATGGTGACAATAAAATATACCACTGGAAAAGGCAAGGCGGCAACCAGAAAGATCGAATAACATGTCGTTAACATTGTTTAAGCAAATAAGGGAGGATTTAAGCATATCGGCCATGCTAGTCCATGATTGGACAACAAAGAATAAGAATAATGTCCGAGGAAAAATATATAGCGATAGAATTGTTTAACTTTCATAAAGCGTTAGAGAACAAGGTAATCTCTAAGAACTAAAATTACAGAACATTAATCCATAGTTAATTTGCATAGTTATGTTGAATACTTTGATTTCCTTTTCATATTTTCCCTTCTCTCCTTTGTAATGGCGAGTCCTTACAGAACGGAAATGTCCTAATAAAGCAGTTGTTGTTGTTGGATACCAAAGTTGGAGTTATCTGACATCACTATCAGCATAAACGCTGGAGTTTTTTCTGAGCACAGAGGACAGTAGCGGTCGCCATGCTGCCCGATTGGCCAGAGTTCCCAGGATTCCTACATAGTCCCATTTCAACTTCCCGAATACTGCCCTCTAAACCGAAGTAACCATTCTCTATGTGTGTGGATTTCATCTGTGTTCAGGCTAGTGCGCTTTTATTCTGGCCCCATGACTGCAAGTTGTATGAGGAGACTACTGCGACGTGGTCATCTTCACATTTTTCAACATATACATATTGTGATTTTCGTAAATATAGAGCCTGCCTGGCCGGCATTCATATTTATTTGAAAAATAGACACTTCGGCCAGTTGGAGGTTTTTAATAAAAATAAATAAATAATAAAAAACTCTAACTGGCCGATGTGTCTATTTTTCATATAAATATTGTGATGCAGTCGTGGAAGTTGTGTGGTAAGTACACAAGGGGGAGACGCAGGATCCAGAGGTAAAACCCCGCGAGGAGTAGATCGAGAGGAAAAAGAGGTCCGAGGACCACCCTGGGAACAACTGGTATGTAAACACTTCAGTGCGAACTGTCCCTTGATCATCACATGTAGGTGTTTTTAAATTGCTTATACATATATATAAATATAACACAATAAAAAAAGAAATATTTACAGTAATCCCGCCATTATTTAAAATATCGTCTGAAAGGCTATAAGGCGATTATTTTCTTACTCTATCTAAAATATAAAGAAATCAATAATTTAATTTCTTTCTTTTTTTATAGCGCATCTACTTTATATATTTATTCTTTTTAAAAAATATCGCTAAGATACATTTTAAGATCAGTAAACAAGAAATTATTTCCACCATTAGATTAGGCTTAAGATAATTTATATGTTATATGTAAATAAATAGTTCAGTGTTACCAAACTTAAACGCGTTTTAAGTTTCTCAAAATATTAAACTAAAATATATATATATATAACATATGAAATACAATAAGTTATTTTGTATGCTATGTAAAAGTTTATTTATTTGTGTTTGATAAATCCTTTTACATTTTATTCGTTTGCTTTTAACAGAAAATATTTCTATTTTCACAGAATATATTTGAAAATGGCATTTTAAATGTTCTCTCTTATTATTATTCAAATATATTTGTATCTCATATATAATTCTTTATCACATTGAAGACAATTTTTAAAAAAAACGTTATTTATTTATCAAAGGTTCCTTAAAATCTTATTTTAGAAGCTTATATATAAAAACAAATATTTAAAATCATAGAAACTATATCTAAAAGCCTTCAGATGTATTTTATTCTATGTTTTTAAGAAAAGGTTACCAGCAACTTTTATATTTTTCTGAGTGTAATATATTATTATAAATATTTAAAAATGTATTATAAATATATATATTTTATATCCTTATTTTATATCTATAAAAATGAAATCCAAAATCGATGTTTGTTATCGCGTTGCGCAAAATCTACAGAATCAATCATTATGAAATTTCGCATGTAGGTAGCTGAAGATTTCGTTTGACATATAGGCTATTCAAAAAACTAAAAATGTTAATGTGCTTTTTTAAAAATATATAAAACCAAAAAGCGTTAGTTCCAGCCTTTTACTGCTTGGGCGCAGCACTGGTCGCGACGATAAATGAATTGATTGGTTAATAATTAACACGTGGTTTGTTTACACGATGAATGTTAGTTTGTTCACATGATGAATGTTTTTAAAAGGTAAGATTATCCAATCGCCGTGAAACTTTAGGAAGTTATTTACTATACTACTGGGAAGGTTTCTGGTTTAAATTTGATTTGAAATAAATATTCGTTGCAATTTTATTTGCAAATTTTCTACTTTCACTCGCAAGCAGCGCCTCTCGCGGTATCTGGTGAAATTACATTTATAAATTGTAAAAATGCTAAAATGTGTTCCAAGTATGATAAATTTAATATTTAATTTGAGGATTTAGTAATATAATATTCCAATGAAGTTGTAAAAAAACTTGGCATTTCATATTATTATATATTTTTAAAATATATCTTATTTAAAATTTAATAAATGTTTTCAAAATAAGTATGTGTTTCAAAAATATATTTAAACGCATATAACAATATTTATATGCGTTTATAAATCTTTATATAAGTGGATTGGATGTTTTCTAGAATCGTTTTAACAAATTAAGAAATGTTCGTTAGGCAAACTTTTACTCGGGTAAAAAC